GAGCAAATTATCATAACATTTTTTGTTATTCCAAAAGTGTTTGCGGTTCATTTAAACTCTATGCTTTTATGCAGACTGAGATGGCCAGTTTTAACCTCTATGCTTTCGTCAGCTGGTCTTAGACAAACTTAAGTCTTAAGTACCCGGAATTAGGATATTTTCTGTTCAAACCTTCCCTTGTGCAGTCGACTCGTAATTCTTTCATTTGTGATTACACAAATTTGTTCAGCATATGCATATGTATGCAGAAAGAAGAAGTTCTTTAGGAAGCAGCAAACTGTATTGTGTAAATTTTCGAGCATGGTTCCCTAGTTTGTCTTCAGACAACGGGTGTGCAAAAGCAATTAAATTCTAGACCGAGTCTGGCAAAAGGATTCCATGATTGGTTAAGTTCGTCATCTCGGGATTGGTTGAGTCAGTTTGAATCTGTCCAAAACGATTCTGTGAGTGGCATCTAAATCGACATGCCGGTTGATGCATGCCTCATCTGAGTTCATTGCCTCCAGGGATTCGCAGCCTTTTCTTTATGGGCAGGCGCCAACAATGCGAGTTCTTTCCCATGCAGATTTATGCCCAGTGTCCACTGTGTGCATGACAACCTGAGATAGATGGTCGCGTCTCTTCACAACTAACTGATGATCATGTATACGGGTTGAAACAGATTTCCCAGTTTGGCCACAATAAACGGCACCACAACTAGAACATGGGATTTTGCAGACAACAACTTTTCTTTCGATGTTGCCAACATTGGCCTTAGGGTGTACAAGCTGTGTGCATAAGGTGGTTGCCAATTGGTGTGCGACGTGTATCTGGCACTTTTTTAATTGTCTTTTGACTAGTTCAGATACCTTTATGACCTATAGGCGAGTTCGCATTGTGGTTGGTTTTGGTGCCTGAACGGCCGTAGCAATGGATATACCTTTTACCTTTAATTGCTGGTACCTCACGCATTGACGTATAAAGTCATGCGGGCACCCATTTTGGCAGAACAGTTTAAAGAGTTATTTCATTTCTGCTCGTTAACTTGTTTTATCAGAGCAGTGAGTTTTGGATCGATTCAGAAGGATGTAGACTGTACTCCGTTTGTGAGAGTCAGGGAGGTTACTCTCAAAGTGTAGGATGACTTTTGAATACGACTCTTTGAAATAAACTGATGTCTGAAGTGATCCATCGGTTTTTCGACGTACAAGGACATCTAGAAACGGGAGTTATCTATCGGCGTCTGTTTCGAAAGTAAATTTTATTCCTGGAAATATCGAGTTAATATTGGTACGGGGCAGATTCAACTGACCTTTCTTGACGATGACAAAATTTTCATCTGCTTATCGTAGCCAAAATTTTTTGCACACAGTGAGAAGGGCTATGCTCTCCTATCTCTGCAGTAATGCCTCTGCCAGGAAACCGGATATGGCTAAACACATGAGAGCACCTTTAGTTTGCTGGTAGCACTGATTGGAGTACGAAAGAATTGTCTCTCGACAAAGATCAGGGAGTTGAAGTAAAACCTCTGTAGGCACATCAGAGGTATATGTTTGAAGGAGTTTTTTGGTGCAGTTCTTCGCAAAATCTAGCAGAATGAAAGCAAAGAGCGAGACCACATCGACTGTCTCGCAAAATGTAAAGTTTACATCGTTTAATTTGTCAACAAATAATTTGAATCCTGAATAGAGTTCTCAAAGGTCTTCGTAAGTGGATGTAGTTGACGAAATAGTCACTTCGAGGTCTTATAGTTGGGTGCACCTATTAAGGCGACTATCGGTCGTAGAGGAATATCAGTTTTTTTTGATTTTTGGGAAGACCATATATCTTGGCAATTGTTGGTTCATTCTGTTTTAAAGACTTGGTATTAACTTCTGTGAGGAATTTCTACCCGATGGCGTTTCACTGTTTTTTTTAATATGCGCGTTTTGCGATTTCGTGGGGTCTGCAGCTAGTGGGTCGTATGTTGAATCATCTTTTAGGAGTGACATCATTTTATCTACGTAGACTGTTGTTTTCAAAGTAGTGGTGGAACCTCCTTCGTCGACAGGTAGAATGATTAAATCTTCGTCAATTTAGGGCTTTCCTTTCATCGTAAGATAGCTTTGCGGACTTTTTAATGTTCTACAATGCCCGTACAGTACTGTTACGTATGCATACAAATGTATAAAAATGGAATGTTATTAGCAAGCGTAAACATATCATTGGACCCACCTATACATTAAGACTTGATATGCGTCATGGAAAAACTGCTGAAATAACGCTATATATAAATGACACACAAATCGGCTACTTCTTTACGCATAGAGTTTGCACGCCTTAGGAACAGAGTTGAATGTCTCGATAGAAAAGCATATTGTTTCCAAAATCCCATATGTCTCTTTTAATGGAATGTTCTATGGCAAACTGCGAAACCAGCCTTGCCCCTGATGCACGAAATTAAGTTAGTCGTCAGAAGACCTCATCAAGTATCACAAATGCCTATCCTCACTCTATAAGCAATGCGCTCCGGTGTAGCATGCATAAATCTGCATATAAATTTCGATGTCTCGTAGAACTTGAAGAAGACGAAATATAATGTGTGGCCCATTGGTCAAACAATGTGCTCAGAATCGGTACTAAAATTAAACGTTATAAGTGTTATTGCATTAACAACGAAATTCACCTCTTTTTTATTGATGTTTATATATGTATACATGCCAACGCGCATGCAGATGCGCAGTCGATATAAATAATTCTGTTTTTTATCACCCATGAAAAGAAACAAAGAAAAAGAGCAAGCGATTTCATGGAAGGTACTGTTTTCATGCTGACATTTCTTTGGCTTGTCCAGTTACATCACCCGAATCGTGAGAGGTCAGTTTCTGCTGATCTGAACTTGTAATGACTTACCTCCTGTTTCACACGTAGACCTGATAGCCGGCCCACAGACAAACGATAATGCGGCAAATACAACAACCGCCCTTGGGCAAAGACTGCGCGAATCCGCAAGTGAATGGCAAAATAAGGGCCAAATTAAATCCTCATTTAATCCTTACTTATTAGACGAAGCAAGTCTATGTCAGCAGGAACCATAATCAACAAATTGTTGTTGGAAACAACAAAATATACCAGATGTCAATCGAAAGGCCGGAGTTACTCATATAGTCACCCTCCCTATTAGAAGGCTCGTCGGAAAAATTGAGTTGTACTCGTAAATTTTCGAGCTGATGACACCAACCCTTCGTCAGACGAAAAACAGTGGCGTGTGCAAACACGAGGGACAGAGGGTCACGTCGGCGGAGGGCTAACTTGTGTTCGTTAATGCGAGTCCCAAGACATCGGCCTGTATGACCAATATAAACACAAGGGCAGTTGGCACACGGTATGCGGTAGATGATGTTACTTAGTTGTTCTTTGGGCACCGGGTCCTTTACTCGGCATAATGTCTCGCGAGACAGGCGTGACAGGGCAGCCATTTACAGGCAAGCAACTAATGTGTGAATGGGGGTGGACAGATAATTAGGCTGGGATTAGTGGTGGGGAGGGAAGGGGGAACTGTTGCGGCTCCCTGTGTTGCAGGGTAGGGGGGATGACGAATCAATGGAACTATGGGCAGTGGACTTAATGGTCGTCGATCCGGCATGCGGGTGGAGGTCAGTGAGCCCAACGTAGAGGTGTTACGGTTTGCAGTTGCGGTTCGCTGTGTCTGGAGGTGTAATGCGGTGACAAAATAGCGCGATTCTACATGGCCCAGTGTGGATTAGCGGCTGTTTTTAGGTCGTGGGCGCAAGTCAGTGAGCCGGGCACGCAGACCTTCGTAATGAGCATCTAGATCGACATGGCGATTGATGCTTGTCGTGTTAGAATGCCAAGCTTCGAGGAATTCTCGAGCGTGTTTGGTGTTCGCCATTGCAACAACTTCAGTTCCTTCCCAGTTGAAGCGATGGTCGCATTCAAGGGCGTGTGCAAACACGAGTGACAAAGGGTCACGTCGGCGGATGGCTAGTTTATGCTCGTTTATACGCGTCCCAAGTCGTCGGCCTGTATGACAAACATGGTCGCAAGAGCAGTTGGCGCACGGAATGCAGTAGATGCCATTGGTTTGCTGCTCTTTAGGTATAGGGTCTTTCACTCGCGATAATGTTGCGCGCACAGAGGACGCCGGCTTGTGGGCAATGAAGATGCCAAACCGGTTTAGTTGTCGGGCGATCGCTTCGGAAATACCCTGCATGTAGGGTAGCGAGTAGAATTTCCGATGTTCTGGCCCCTCATTAGAACCAAAGCCCTGTGGTTGTCTTTGATGCCTGAGACAATTTTTTACAAAGCTGACAGGGTGTCCGTTGAGCCGGAATAACCGATACAGGAAAGCTAGTTCTTTCTTAAGTAGATCATCGGTGCTGCAGTACCGATAGGCCCGGTGGAAAAGGATTCGGACACAGCTCCTTTTATGAGCCGCTGGATGGTTGCTTTCATAATTAAGAATGACGTCAGCACTGGAGTCTTTTCGGTAGACGCTTGTTGCAAGGCCTCCATCACTTAGTGTTTGGATACTAACGTCTAGAAACGGGAGAATGCCTCCTGTTGCCTTTTCGCAAGTAAACTGGATTGCTGGGAAGACGCTATTCAGACTCAGATGTAGTTGCTCAATTTCGCAGGTCTTCATGATAACAAACGTATCATCTACGTATCGGAGCCACATTTTTGGTTTAAAGGTTCGCATACCTTCCTCTTCTAGTTCTTGTAGTACTAGTTCAGCTAGCAGACCTGATATTGGCGAGCCCATTGGTGTGCCCCTAACCTGTTGATAAAACTTCCCATCGAATTGGCAGTAGGTCTTGAGACAGAGTCTAAGAAGTTCTGAAATGTGTTCTATCGGAATGTCGGTTGGTTTATCTTGCAGGCGTCCGGTTACGCTCTCAATCGCTAGGTCATGTGGTATTGAGGAAAACAGGGCAACCACATCAAACGATAGAATACACTCATCAGGACTTACTTTCAGGCCTTGGATCTTCTGGAGGAATGCCTGAGAGTGTTTGATGCTATATTGTAATCCATTGGTGAGGTGCTTCAGGTGCCTGTATAACTGGCAAGGTTGTAGCGAGGTTGTAGGTGGGCGATCCAATAAGCAGCACTATGGTCCTCAATGGCGCACCTTCTTTGTGCACCTTTGGGAGGCCATATGCATGGGCTATTCGGGAGTCGTTAAGAGTCATACATCTGGAGTCATCGGGGGTTATGAGTTTCAGGCGAGTGAGCTCATTCACCTTCTTTTTTACAGCTGCGGCTTGCTTTTTAGTCGGGTCCTCCGCGTGTGGTGTGTAGGCTTCACTGTCGTTAAAGACTTGGTTCGCCTTGTTGACGTAATCGCTGTTTTCCATGACGACGGTCGCGCCACCTTTGTCAGCAGACACAATCATAATGCTGTCGTCCGTCCTAAGCGACTGTAGCTCTTTTTCTTCATCGACTGGCAAGACTTGGTGGTGCTTCTTTTGTCGAAGGAGACCAGTGGCACAGCTGCGTATGTCTGCGCGCATTTCTTCAGGCACAGCAGAGGTCAGTAAAATAGATTCAATGCTCGCTAAGAAGCTTGTGGGCACAGCGTCGGAACGGCTGAATTTTGTTCCTCTAGATAGTAGACTAAGTTCAGCGGATGTTAGACTCCTTTTAGAGAGGTTAACAACTCTTGACGATCTGCTGTTTTCGTTGACAGGGCGAAGAAGAGATTGCAGTTTCGCTTGAAGATCGGCTCGCTTTTTCATTCTGGCGTCTAAAGCGGTGGCATTTATTCGGTGTAGCACATCTGCGAATACATTCTCAGGCAATGTTGAGATACACTGGCTTCGAAGGTCGGATACTGCTGCATCGCATCTGCAAAGGCGACGGTGGACGTCTGATATAATGGCACCAAAAACGCGAAATCCATATTTGCGTGCAAGTAGCCTCCCAGTCTCAGTCGGTAGAGTGGGCTTGAAACGAAGAGACTTCGGTAGGATGCCATGATCGCGACATCGATGAAGAAACGTCAGCTGCTCGTAAGTTGTAGCCTGTCTCTGAGCAAATTTCTACCAACGTCTGGTGAGAATATATATATATATATATGTAGAGTAGAAGTGGTAGGCATGCCGAGACGATATAATGAAAAAGGAAGAGTTTCTTCGGAAAAAATCGAGTTGTACTCGTGAATTTTTGAATTGGTGACACCAACCCGTCGTCAGACGAAATGAAGAGAAAAGAGAGAGTGAGACAGTCACGCTAGACTAATAGACGAGACAGGACAAACATTGGCGGACGAACCATTAGCGTGCGAGGAGGGATGCGGGTAGGGAGTCATGCTGGGTTCTGAGCCGGGAGGGTAGGAAGGGGGGGGGGAACCGTTCGGACCCTCTAAAACCGGGCCTACCGGTACTGCAGCAATGAAGATCTGCAGAAGAAAGAACTAGGCTTTCTATATCAGCTATTTCGATCTAACGGATACCCAGTCAGTTTCGTGAAGAACTGCCTCAGACGTCAGGCACAACCTCGAGACCCCTCCTCAGATGGAGAAACCGTGAAGCGGAAATTCTTCTCCCTGCCCTATATGCAGGGGACCTCAGAAATGATCGCCCGTCAGTTAAGTCAGTTCGGTAATCGCGTTTCCCACAAGCCTGCATCCTCGCTGCGCACAATCTTAACTCGAGTAAAGGATTCTTTCCCTAAAGAGGAACAGACTAACGTCATTTATCGCATCCCGTGTGCCAATTGTCCCTGCGTATATGTTGGTCATACAGGACGACGCCTGGGAACTCGTATTAATGAACACAAACTAGCTGTCCGTCGCCGTGATCCACTGTCTCTCGTCTTTGCACGCGCACTCCAGTGCGACCACCGTTTTAATTGGGATAACACCGAGGTCATCGCCACGGCCAACACAAAACGGTCGAGAGAATTCCTAGAGGCATGGCATTCTAACGCGGATAGCATCAACCGCCATGTTGACCTAGACGTCCATTATGAGGGCCTAAGATCACGCCTCACTAAACCGAGCCCCACGCCGCATCAGCAGCCGCTAATCCAGGCGCCCGCAGTTCTGCCAACCTACCATTCTCCCTCCCCTCCAACACGGCAGCCGCAACGGTTCCCCCCCCCCCCTTCCTACCGTCCTGGCTCAGAACCCAGCATGACTCCCTACCCGCATCCCTCCTCGCACGCTAATGGTTCGTCCGCCAATGTTTGTCCTGTCTCGTCTATTAGTCTAGCGTGACTGTCTCACTCTCTCTTTTCTCTTCATTTCGTCTGACGACGGGTTGGTGTCACCAATTCAAAAATTCACGAGTACAACTCGATTTTTTTACGAAGAACCTCTTCCTTTTTCATTATATCGTCTCGGAATGCCTACCACTTCTACTCTACAACATATATATATATATATATTAAATGGCGAAGCTCGTCGGAAAATCGAGATAGACTCGACACGTTTCAAGTCCTTATCAGCTCACCGATCGTTCTTGCGGAAATTACTAGTTCCGTTGTCTCCAATGGGCTTTCTCTCTCTGGAGCGCCCCCTGCCTTTTTATATTCCCGATCGAAAACGACAAAGCAACGGGTTCGTGGCCCAGTGGTTAGAGGCGTTGACTCCTAAATCACAGGTCGCGAGTTCGAGCTTTGACTATTCCACACTTCGGGGTTGGGTATGGCTGGCTGACGACGGCTGATAAGCCAGAAATGCCCATGCGCCGCTGGGCAGGTGCTGGTTGTGCTCCAGAGAGAGCCTATACGGCACAACGGAACGAGAGAGTTCCTTAGGAACGATCGGTGAGCGCCGCCTACCATTATATATACATGTTTATATTTAAAGGAGAAGCTTGTCGGAAAATCAAAATAAACTCGTGAATTTTTAAGTCGTCAACACTAACCCGTCGTCCGACGAATGATAATTTTTAGGGCGACTATAGCACAATGGAGCTGAGCGGACATTGCGTTTACATAAACGAGACGGACGCCGTTGTGTGGAGAATAGTGAACAGTAAGGAAAAAACAGGTGTAGTATGGTTAATTTTGCAAACTGTTCAGTGCGCTAGATTGCCTGTCAACAATTAATGAATATTTCATGGGTATCGTTCTCATACTGGTGTAGTTTGGATCACTTACCCGTATAAAAATTGTAAAGATCCATTTTGTTTCCTTCCAAGTGATGCACTGCATGATATTAGGTTTACTTCTGCGATAAAAGAGCTAACCTGTTGACTGGCATATACCACAAGGCAAACACAGAATCCTAGAACGACCAACACTGAGCTACATTCCTTGCAAAGACATCGTTCAATGACAAAATGCAGGTAAAACAACTGTCTGGACTTGTGGCTGGTGCCCGTGCAATAAGATGAATAAAATATACGGTATGCGTACATAGAATTTGTCTTAAATCAATACACACATATATATTGCTGATTGAAGGGAAAATGCGTGTCCTTGGATATAACGTAAAAACATAAGGCGATCGCAGGAAAAGTGGGTTGATTTACCTGACGTTTCAAAAGCAGACAAGCTTCCATCATCGGAGGTGGGTTGCGTACTGCACATCACAGTATTTAAGGTTTTTGCCTTCGCGCTGGCATGCCACTGACTTTCAGCGCGCGCATCAGGATGTTAGGCCATTTTGTCATGACGGCATCGGTTCTTCCTCATCCATCGTCTGGTGTGGGAAGGGGAGCGGTGTCAGGGTGACCGCGGTCATTGCTCTTGTTTGGACTGTTCGTTGTCCGCCCTCCACGCATCTTGCCTTCCTGTCCTGTTCGCATCTGCCCCTGCCCATGTGGACGGTGGTTAGCATGTCAGCGTTGCCGTCAGGTGGGAGGTCTCTGCCACTCTCAGACGCCCTCACCACGGGCTTGCGTCTGTCTGTGTTTGGAACAATCATTTGCACCTACTTGACCTAAAAGTTGCAAAACCGGCATGTAAGAAGATAAGAACAACGGTTTGCCGTAAGGCGACCGACATGTTGAGAGTAGATATATGTGTGTGCCAGACTTCTTCGAGGCTGGTTATAATTACCGTATATTCAAAGTCGACCAGCATTACCTTACGTGTGACATAATTAAGCAGTTGTTTTCACTCGCATTTCAGGCCAATTTTGAGACTGTTGACGCTGCAAATAGTCATTATGCACACTCAGTTATCGGACTGAGCACAACGCCAGGGATGCAGCTGTTTTCCATTGAATGCCCGTCTTAATGTATGTGGGTTGTTTTATACATGTCAAACAGAAAATTTTCTCTTTGTTTCTTTGCAGACAAAACCGCGTATGCATAGCGTGTATCTGATGAAAGACCTCATCTACGCTGATCTGGAGAATGTTGTTGCAAAAGCAGAAATACACTACATTTACGGCGCCGGAAGAGCTCGAGGAATGTTGCGAGCTACAGGGCTGCATTTTACCAGCCTGGCTGACATTGAGAGATTGCAAAATGTAATGGAATCCCTTCGAAAAATGAATAAATGGAGACGATCTGCTCTGGCAATTCTCGAAAAACTTGCGGTTCAGGCATTTTTAAATGCTCCGGAGGTGTCATGCGTCCTATAGATACATTTCATCCTTCAAAATGGCCTTAAAAGTTATGTATTACGTGACTTGGCCAAAAAGGCTCTGTTTTTTATGTAGATTTCTTGTCGGAAATTGGCAGCCTGCGACAAAATTTTTCAAGTCATAATCACTAGACTATGTTGGTCTCCTATCTCGATGATCCGTGTATACCTCTGAGCGAGCTGTGTAAAACCCCCTACTTAGTGCTGTAATAAAGGTTTTTGTGTCATCTAAACGAGCACTGATTACCCAGAACATGCAGCGAGCACTAACACAGCATGTTTGTGACGCCACTGCCTGCATTCAAAATCATCAACACCATCGACATCAAGACGACCTCTTTACAGACCATGCCTTTTCAACAGAATACTTAGGGGATAGCTCATTATTTATAAACACTAAAATTAGCAACTGGTACTACGCTGCATAAACCCACATGTTTCCAGAGGGCACAGCTGGGTGTAGCTAACTGGCGGTGCGCAAAGGCGACACATGGTCGGCAAATCATTGACAGCCGCGAAATGATATCCGTTGGCACATATCTTCCGAGAATAATATGGTTTTTGCTGCATATTTGGCGTTTCGAAATTCGAAATAGCTTAAATATTGCTCGCATGAAGTAAATTAGCAATTGCTGTATTTCCTTTTGCGATTTATGTGCATGACGTTTAAATTTAGGCTCCAAATGATGCATAACTCATCGAAGGGTACGCATCATCGGTTTCTGTCCGTATACGGAAGATAGACAGTTTATATAGGTCACCCACTCCGACGATTTATGCATTAATCTGCGCATAGATGGGGAGGCCATATACACAAATTTCAAAGAAGAGTGGAAAACTGTTGCTAAAAACATTCATAATATGACTCAAGTCCACTGACAGATTTTATGAATCACTATATTGTATCCTACTCATAAGGCAGAGACGTGTGCGATTTCTCGTATGCGGCCAGCTGACAGTCTGACGTCTTTATGGCATGTTACTTAAAAAGGACTCCTCTCGATTAGCCTTGAGCTGAAGTAGTTTGCTTATACTGTCTGGATGGTGGTAGGTTTAAACGTTAACATCTTAGTAGTAATCAGCGTCTGTACGTGTGAAACGACGCAGTCGCGACAGTGACGGGATGACCATAACATGTTGTTGTTTTGCACTTGTTAAGTCAGGTCATGTCAGGGAGGTCGAACTAACAAACGTATTC